ATTTCTTAAAAGCGCAGGCTAATGGAGTTCTATTGAGATGATTAAATGAGCTGCTGGTGCCCAGATTAGCCAGGTCTCATCTCACAGGCACAGCTCGCATTATCATACGCAGCAGACGCATGCGTGCGCCGAGTCCCAAATTCCTACGACTGACATCTCCGGGGGAACGGAGGAGCGATGACTACATCCGACCTACATTCACCCCACCCCAGCACGCTCGCTTCCAACTAATTACACACACAAACATGCATGCTCAGCCACACTATAGGTGGATTCATACCATAGTAAGAGCCACAGTGCAGGGGAACACTGCTGCTGCATGCATATTACAGAATCAGACAATTTCAATTAGGTGTCACGCCACTTCCAAATCTCCGAGTATCTCTGGGGATTTTGGAGCCAAAAAATCCGTTCTAGCTCCGAGTGACCTCCTGATGACTGGGACGGGGAACCTTTCCCAAGGCTTTCGCACAGGCTTAGATGAAAATATCATTTGTGTGATGGGATGTGAAAATTCTCCGAGCACAAAAACATTAGGAACAAACCTGAGGCTACTGGAGCTTGTTCAAACGCCCTGGGCATGGAAACGGCGATATTGGATTTCATTCAAACGTCTTATGCAATAAAGAGATTTTATACATATTCTATAGACATTATTTCAGCTGTTTGGATTCTCAGAAAAACTATGGCAGCAGGGAAAACACCCTATTAACAAGAAGTGAGGAAAAAAGAGCTGTGACGCAGGCTCTAGCCTATGAGCACATCCTCAGACCGCGCTGCACTGCTTCCTGTGCTGTACAGCATCCTGGTTAGAGTGATGTGGTTTTTCACACTTTTAAATGTGAGGGGTATTTCTACAGTTCCAACCCACATTTAGGCCAGAATCTGTTGATCTATGCGAGCTTCGACTAAACTAGAAAGTACTTGAAGAGCGTCAATCTCCACCAACGCTGACTAATTTAACGACTTGCTTTTGTATTAAAGGCATCATTACGTCAAATCTATATTAAACCTGACACCGAAAAAAACCCTTGCTGTCCCTACATCTTATATTTAGCTTTATAGCTAAATATATAGCGTTATCTTTCTGGATAAAACTACCTAATTATAAAGCCCCCTAATTTCATGGGTTGTAAAAGAGACAAAAAGAGCCTGAGTAGAAGTAATTCGTATAAAAATAAAAACCCTGATTACTGTGTGTTACGTAATCAGGGTTCAGTGTGGCAGTAAAGTGAATTTAAAACCACTTGGAGTAACTGGATTACCACATTAAATCTGTCAGAAACCACTTAACAACAATTACACCACTGGAATATCACATATGATGCAACCTTTACACATGTTTTTTTCTTTCACTGCTCGTGTACGTTTGCTTGCATATTGGAAATGTACTTGTTACCTCTTAAACAGGTTGTAAACGGACATTTTCAGAAGAAAATCTGAGAGAAAAAAAATAACAATAATCCTGAAAAATCTGTTAAAGCATTATCGTATCAGACTGGCTGCATCTACAATAATAGAAGTCATTATTTATTTTTGAAGTTTTGACACAAAGAAAAAAGCAGGCATCAATGAGTATGAATATTATTTAGCATTTCTAGATCTCTCATGCTGTTTCTGTATGCTGACAAAATGCTATCCCTAAGTTTTCATACTGGCTATGAGCAAAAGAACCACCAGCCCAGCTCGTTCTGCTGCATCGACGGTGGAGCTGGAACTCAGTGGGTAGAGCAAAGCGTCAATCTGCCAGCAGCACAGTTCGATCCCCGCTGAGGCCACCCACTCCCAAATTTATAAAACGTGTATGTATTCATTTTGGATGAGTGTCAACCAAAGCCTTTGTCTTAGCTACAGCTAATCGGGCTCGTTAGTCACGCCCTTATAGTTCTGACCAATCAGGTGTGTGTATGAGAGTTTATCAAATCCACTTCAACATACTCAAAGCTGCTCGCTGCATAAAATACCGTAATGTCTGGACTATAAGCCACTATTTCTTTCACACGCTTTGAACACTGCAGCTTAAACAACGATGAGGCTAATTTATGGATTTCTACAAATTCACCTGGAGACCAAAGTGAGGCTGAGAGCGACGACGACAGAGAGACTGAGGAAGTGATGAAGTGATTCTGAGGCTGTTCAGCTCCTGAAGACACTGAAGAAGACGACTTTAGTGGTTTTAGTGCAGGAGGAAGATGAAGACAACCATCAGTGACTTTTCCTGGTAGCTGCTGGAGTTTTATTTCCTTAACCAGCCGTGTTACAGGAACTGTTCAGAAGAAAGCATCTACGTATTTGTGTGTGTTACCAGTTTAATTAAAAGTTTAAAAAAATCAACACCTGCAGTTTATAGACAAGTGCAGCCTGTATATGTACACAACCTGTTTTCTTTTTAAAGTCAGTGGGTGTGGCTTATATTCAGGTGCGCTCATAGTCCGGATATTACGGTATCTTCCTACCAGCAGACTGACCTGTGAGCGCGACACGCTGCAAATTTGTTCACAAATCCAACAACAAAGATAGCAGGAAAACACGGCTGTAACTTTGCGTCTGGAGAAAACGGCTTGGCAGCGAGTTAAACAATTCGGTGCATATAAAGAAGGTCGGTGGTATACAGAATAATACAGCGTTGGGTGGAAACGCCTGCAGCTCAACGCAGGAGCACGTGTGCAGACTGACAGCACGTATGATGCGGCGCCGCTGACAACTAAATACGGCATGATGAAGGCAAAAGAGGAAACAAAAGGTTGCAAAATAAAACAATTCATTTCCTTACAAAAGGCCTCGCCACAGAAGCTAAAATCAATCCATTTATAATAACACATGCTTTCTCATCTCCCCCTCACCTACACACACACACACACACACACACACACACACACACACACACACACACACCTACACACACACACACACACCTCCATGCAGCCTGTACACACGCCAGATCTTGTCGCCCCAGGAAATGGGCTTCATACATCTTGTCTGACTGCAATAAAGCAGTGCCTAAGATTCTATTTCCAATAAACGTCGACTGATTGGAAAACTCATTCTAATATCAATTTCCATCTGGGCCCTTTAAAAGGCAATCAGCATAGCTTCATCTCGGTATATCATGGGCTCCTTGAGATGATGACACAGCACTGGCTCTCTCCTTCTGCATAATGGCCTTCTCCTATCAAGGCATCTGCAATGAATAATACCACCCATGAATGGGCTATTTAGTCTGTGTTCGCACAGATAGGGGCCACTTCTCTGAATATTAATCCAGGGTTTTACACTTCATATGGTTCTCTCAGGGCTGCACCATTTTTCATTCAGAGGAGTAAGGCACTTAGTGTGATTCGGCACACTCATAGTTTCCTCTAAGCTTTCTCAGAAGTGACAATGGTGATTACCAATGGCATCTCGCGTCGTTTAAGATGCCCAGCGCCCACAAGACAATGATTTAAGTCAGGGAATATCAATTCCAGCCCTGTTCCAGACGCTGTCAACAGCTGATCACAGGATGGAAGGTCAAAGGAGAACTTCCACAAGTGCATAAACAGTGCAAACAAATTGACAGAAGCCAAAACGTGAGCCGTGGAACTTTAACAGCGCTTAAGAGAATATTTTAGGGATGCACGATATATCGGCGACCACATCGGTATCGGCCGATATCAGCGTTTTTTTCCCCATATATCGGTATGGGTTAACAAATTTAGCCAATGATTGTCTGACATCAGCGCCTTCATCTATACGTTTGATATTTCTGCTATTTCCAGATGTTTTTATCTAAATGGTCCTTTAACAGTAAATATGTTTGAATATGTTTTACTTTGTTATAAAGAAGTCTATGTGGTCTAATCTGGGCTTCTTCTGAATAGTTTCTCACAGTGCTTACTGATACTCATTTTCTGACGTGAACAAAAACTGAATACTGTCATCTGTAATATCGGTTTTCGGCGATATCAGAAATCTTAATATCGGATATCGGTATCGGCGGATATCAGGGTTTTTTTCCCCATATATCGGTATCGGTTAACAAATTTAGCCGATGATTGTCTGACATCAGCGCCTTCATCTATACGTTTGATATTTCTGCTATTTTCCAGATGTTTTTACTTAAATGGTCCTTTAACATTAAATATGTTTTACTTTTGTTATAAAACAGACTATGTGGTCTAACTGGGCTTCTTTTGAATAGTTTCTCACAGGGCTTACTGATACTCATTTTTTGAAGCAAACAAAAACTGAGTATCGTCATCTGTAATATCGGTTATCGACGATATCAGAAATGTCAATATCAGATATCGGTACCGGCCGATATTAGTGTTTTTCCCCAGATATCGGTATCGGTCCGATGAACAAATTTTGCCGATGATTGTCTGACATCAGCACCGTCGTCTCCACATTTGATATCGCTGCTATTTCACAGATGTTTTTACCTAAATGGTCCTGGACTGAACGCTAAATATGTTAAACTATGCTTAAATATGTCTTACTATCTATAATAAAGAAGACTATGTGGCCTAATTTGGGCTTCTTCCAAATTGCTCTCTCACAGTGCTTACTGATACTCGTTTTTCGGTGTGAACAAAAATTGAACATCGACATCGGTGGTATCGGTTATCAACGACATCAGAAATATTAATATCGGTATCGGCCAGAAATTTAAATATCGTGCATCACTAATAATATTCAATATTGTTGTAACATCAAACCAGGGTGTCTGTTGGAGGGTAACTAGTGACTTTCTGTATTTTTCTTAATGCCAACAACAATGAATTGATCCGACTAACAAATATCAGTTGTGTCCAAAATCCAAAAACGATTAAAACACATCAGCTTTGTGCATCACAGCCTCCAACCTCCTGGATCACCATTACTAACTGGTAAACAACAAAAATGGCCCCTAATCCACCCATTAAAAGCCAGTTTAAAGCCACAGAGTTACCAATAGAAGCATCACTGTGCTGTTTTATTAAACTTAACGGTATAAACAGTCTGTGTGTCGCTGTGCTCACCTTCCAGCCACTGCCCGCCTCCCTGTAGTAGGGAAAGTTATCACAGATCCACTGGTAGATTTCGCTCAGTGTCATCTTCTTCTTTGGCGAGCTGTTGATAGCGAACGTGATAAGGCTGGCGTAGCTGTAGGGCGGCTTGCCGTCCTTGTGCTGCTGCACCTCTTCCTGGTCCAGCGTGGTGTTAGGATCCAGTAGGGCACTCTTCTTGCCCATGCCTGGCCCGTGAGCGTTCTGGGCATCAGCCTTGCGGATGGCTGCCTGCATGGTCAGCTGAGGAAGCCAATCCATGGAGGTCAGGCTGCTCTCCAGCTCCGACGTCATGGTGACGGCAGGCTGGGCAGGAGGGGGCGGGGAAAAGGTGGAGGCGGCGGCGGTCGCTGTTGGTGCTTGGCGACTGATGGAGAGCGCACCAGGTGTGGAATTACGAACAAAGACGAGTGGGGATGAAGTCAGGGCTCCCTCAGCTCAGGTCATCAGCATAGCATCTTCTGTAGGCCAACTGTGGAGAAACAGGAGGAGACATTCCTTTATTAGTCAACTGGTCACCTAAACACTGGAAGATAGAAATCTGTGTATATCAGCAGCACTGCAGAGGAAGAAAGTGAGGAAGCAGCTCTGCCCAACATCAAAAACCAAGTGTCTCTGTAAAGTATGCTTATATTCGCTGTGCAGGAGATCACAAGCCCACCACTTTCTCCACCACTTGCTGCTCTCAAAGCTGACTCATAGCTGGGACTCCATCTGCACAGAGAGAGTAAATGCCAGGCAATTGTTTTCACAACTGCCAGCCAAATGGGGGAATGGCTCAGGAGGAATTCCGACTCTCTTGAGGATAGTAAACCCCCTCTCTCTCCTTTCTTCCCCTCCCTTCCTCCCCCAAACAGAGCCTCTGCCGTAAACAAGCCAGCTAGCGTCGTCCTCGGCGCCGTGGTGTTGGCCGTGTTGTGCAGCCCGCAACAGCCTGCCTCGCCGTCCCTCTCGGCACGCTGCCCTGCCCGTCTTAAAATAGAGGAGCAGAGTAGAAAGGCCTAAAGTTACCAACGTAGGTGAATACGGGTGGAGGAGAAAAAAAAAAACCTGAGCAGGATGACACTGCAGTCTGGCTGAGGGGGAAAACAGTTGGAGGAGTGAGGAATCCTAACCAGGTTGTGGGGTTGTTCTCTCGACTGAACATGCTCATACAAGTGTGTGTCGGTGAGGCTGAGTGTGCATCGTCAGGCTGGAAGTAAACACAGTCCTGACAGCAGTCAGCGGGTCACACAGGGAACACATGCATGTGAGTGTAGCGTGGAAATGTACAAAACTAATGTCATTAACCCGCTCTTTCAAACCGTTCAAATAGGAAAAATCTGGATTATTTCTACTTATAACTTGGCAGATTTACGTGTGTTTTTTCTTAATTAAAACAGGTTCAAAAAGATTTAAAGTCTAAAAATATGGAGCATTTAAAATACTTGTTGTACATGTTTATCACAAATGTGGCCGGGGACATTGAAAAAATAAAAAAGAGCATCATTTTATGGGCCTCTGCTTTCGATATGAGATGCAACAGGAATCGTAAGAAATTCCCAAATTGGGCAAACTGCTTTGCCGGCAGTTGGTCAGAAGCGGTTTATGGTTGTCCCTTTCAATTGATCTCTCACAGCGGGGGCTAGCTGGTGCCCAGCAGCCAATTCAATATCCACTATCAGCGCAGACAGCCAGAGCAGATGATGAAGGCATTTTCACACATCCAAACAGAAACCCAGAGAAGGGAAATACCAAATACGTCTGCGGGAGATCATTAACGGAGTAAGGAACTGGTCTTAAATCTTCCCCTATAATCAGCGCCGGGTTTCATCAGGCGCCGCTAAGTTTCTAATCCAAGTTTTTCTGAGCAAAATGCTTCTTATTCATTCAGTTTCTTGTCTATTTTTAAAGTGATACTCTGCCTGTAAGGAAAGTTTTTTCAGGGTGGGTGTGATGAGGAGCAGCAGCTGAGGTCACCTTGAATCCATGCTGATAATAATAATAAAGGCTGTATGTGGATAAAAAAGGTCCGAATCAGCTCGTCAAAGCCCTCCTGCAGCGTAACGCACTGATCCATTGGTATGATCAGCATGTTCCACAAATATGTTCTCACAACCAAATACCCTCCTTTGGCCTGAGCTTTGGGAAAAGAGGTGACGACACATAGGAGAAGCTAGTTTAGCCGTATTTTAAAACATTGTGAATCAAACAAACAGAGCATGAAGCTGGAAAACAAGAAATTATGGCGGCGATGTTCTGAGACATTTATGTGACTGTTTTGATTCTTTATTCTAAATCAAGCCGTCTACAACCTCTCAAGCCTTCAAAACCTCACTCTGGTTTCTCTGTAGAGCTTCTCTCAGGTTTCCAGCCTCCTATAAGAAGCGCCGTGAGATGACACGCACCGTGACGTGGCGCCACATAAATAAACCTGGAATTGATTTAGACTTGACTGTAATCTGTTGACGTAGATAAGAGCTGGGTATTTACTTCTCGCTGTGCTTTTGTTTTCTTCCTTCATTAACACTTGTGTCATGATTTTTCAAAGGTTGGAGACCCTGATGAAAACACTGAAGTAAGTCTTTCAACCTCTGCAGTCATGAGCAGACTAATAAACGAGCAGACATGCCGACTGACATGTGAGTCAGAGCGACGGTGAAGAACGGCTGCTCGTCACAAAGAGAACCAGGTCATAGCAGGTATCTCCACCCTGTAGCTGACATGAAGGTGACTCACAGGCCGCTGATGGCAGTAATTTTCCTCTTTGAATAGAAGCCTCCTGACAATTAGATTTTTAATATTAATCTGCATATTATTATTCATTTGAATATCTGCAGCATCACTCAGCAGCTCCATCCATCTCCCCGGGCCTCCAGTACACATTTAGCACCGGTGTCATGCCATCACAGCAGCTACAACCATCCTGAAATGTGCTGCACTGACCTCAGTTGACTCATAATTAAACGTTCTCCACTTTGTAAACTGGGGCTATAAGCAACCCACCAACCTGCCGATACATTTGTTGATTGATTTATTAGTCTTATTAGTCGTCGGTTCAATAAAACTGCAATATTCTGGAAGCACAAGTCGGCATCTCGTGTCTGTTTTGTCCCACCAACAGTCCGAACCCCTGACAAACACGAGCAGGCCGAAAATCCTCACGATTGATATGTTTTTTGCTCGTTAAGTAACTTAAACATTTAATCAATTGTCAAAATTGCCAAGTATTTTTCTTCTCCATCTACTAATCGACTAACTGTTAAGCGTCAGTTAAACACAAACAAACCACAACATCTGAGTTTGAGATCCTCAAAACGCATTAAAGGAAACTTTTGGAGCAAAACAAACATTCATTTTAAACTATGATTCTAGAAAACACAATGCAAAGCCGCATAGTCGTACTCGTGTCTAATGCATGTATTATGTTTTATTTTTATTTTATTTTATTATTTTTATTTTATTTTATTATTTTTAGATTATATTTATATAGCATTATATACCATTTATAATTATAAATATATATATGAATAAATATAAATATATTTATTTTATATTATTTTATTATATTTTATATATATTATTATTTACAATTTATAATATTTATATTTCTCATGTATCCACAGTGTTCTGACAGCAGCAGTGCAATATTTTTTTTTGTTTTCCTACCGTCTGGCTGGTATCATGCTCATTCCTGACTGCATATATGTCCTACTGGCTCCTTTTGTAAATATATTTATATATTCTTATTTGTCTTTTTTATACACCACTGGAGCTGTCTTTTAATGTCGTTGTACTCTGTATATGATGACAATAAAAGCATTTATTCTATTTTCACTCAGACAAAGTCCCTACAATATGTCCACCTCTGCACTATTTTCAAAAAGATCAAAAAAAGGAAGAAAAAAAGCCAGCAACGTGTATGGTTTGGGTGGTTGTAACTGACAGCTGGGTGCCCGTGCATAGGTTAACTCTTGATGTGAATGCTTCCATACACACTGAATGCTGGGTATGAACGGTTCTAGAAAGCAGGCCGGGCCTTCACGTGGTGGCCAGAGGTGAGGAGTCCGAGACAAGGGTTGATGAAAGGCGCTCCACCCCGTACACGGAGACACATGCCATTTGACCCTCTGCGCTAATGATCCAGCTGCTACATAATCTGCAGGGCCAAGGCAGCGTTTTAATTAGAGAACCTTGGGCTGTGGCAGGAACGATGAAGCGCAACACGGCCAGTCAGCGAGACAGCACCCCCGCTGCCTTCATTACCCAAGCTGTGGGACAGTCGGAGCAGGGACAAGCCCCGGCCTGCTGCTGCTGCGTCAGGGAACGCTGGCTAACGGGTCTGAGGATGGGCAGAGGAGTGCTCAGGAGGCGGGGAAGATCAGAAGAAAAGCCAGAGGAGATGGAGCGGTAGGGGTGGGCGTGAAGGGCACGACGTAGCACCGGGCCTGGCAGAGAGTTGAAAGTGCCAATGGTCTGCATCCAAGGGGTCTGAGGGTTCAGGCTCTGTGATTACGAGCCCAAGGGAGCAGACTGTGATCCCACACACGGAGCCGCTTTGATCTGGCTCTAGGAAAATGGGGTTCCTTCACTGTCACGGCCAAAAAAAAAGAAAACTTCTTTCTCTCTCTCTCGACTTTAATTTGTTTTCAGAATGGAACGCTGGGAGTATTTTCGAGGGCTGAGAGGGAGAAATGGACGGTCAAATTCATTCTCTATTCAACACTCCAAGTTTCTTTATCCTCCAGGGATTAATGGCAGATTTAGTTCTGAATGAGAAATTGAAAGCGTTTTTGAAACATCTTAATTTACCGAGTTCTTGACAGGACTTATCAACCGTCCTGCTGCCAACGGAGCGCTGACAGAAAATCAGTGATTGTGTTTTGTGTCTCGGCTACTAAGTCTGAAGTGGCTCAATCAGACTGACAGCGCGGCGATTATACATGAGCCAGGGCCTCTTTAATTCAAGAACCCCCAGTGAGGCAACACGCTGAGTAACAACCAGGGATTACTCAACGCAACACAGCAGATTACGTCAACTCCAGCACGTTAGGCAAGTACGTACTGGGCGCAAGTCAGCAACTGCGTCATAAAATCAGTGCTGTTCCTCATCCCGACTATTGCAAAATTGATGTGTGTACTTAGCGAGCACTTAAAATTTTAGTACCTCCAACAATGCATGGCCCGGGGTGCAATTAATATTTTAGCTGTGATACTGCTACAGTGAATGGCACTTAAATGTCTTCAACATTTTATATAATGACAATAACTGCATGCTAAAGTCAGAAAGTATGGAGGCTTGATAACTACGTACACGTCTGTGGTGGTGTTGGCATCATCTGGTCGGCTACTGGACTCCCCGATCACACCCGCTTTACACAGCAGACGTGTGAAGGTGAGAAAATGTGCAATGACCGAACTCTCTTAATCGGTGTTCGCAAATACATCCATCATCTCTACACCTTAATCCTCACCAGGGTCATGGGGGGGCTG